ATTGGTGGTCTGATGACAACTCAAAATTTTTAATTTTGTTTTGAAACTTACAATGAAAATGGTAATCAAGAGTAAATTTCCTTAAGGAGGGCACAGACGGCAATAACTGACAGATCTAATTCCTCTCCACTCTGTCTAAAACTAAAAAAAAAATGCCTTTATTTGCATTTTCATGCACTTATTATTATTTTTAATACTCAGGATTTTATATAGTACCAACAGTTTACGCAGCGCTTTACAACATGTGGGCAGACAGTACAGTTACAATACAATTCAATACAGGAGGAATCAGAGGGCCCTTGCATACATATTTATTGGGATAGTTAATAGCTAAGCTTTTGCTGTTTAATATTCAAACAGTATATTTTATATTTATTTGCACTATTTCGTCGGTTGTCACTTGTGTTACAGTTCACATTTTTATTTGTACAAATTCATTTTACATGTGCCTGTGGAGCATATTATGTTTATCTCAGCAGCGCAACACCTTTGATTAGTTTTAGCTAACAGACCTGCATTGCATGTGATGATGCCAATGGACCACCCACAGACTATATGTTTGGGGGTAAGATGACAGTGCTGAGTGGGGGATAGGGTAAGTAATGTAACTCAGTTTGTAGCTGGCAAGGAAGAAACAGATACAGAGACACTGTACTGCTGCTGCTGCTCTGTACATGGGGACTCTATGCTGACCTGGCTGGTGCTGTTCCACTTCCATCCACCAGAGGGATCCTGTGGGACATGAAGTACCAGAGAGACTGAAGCAAGACTGTGATGGATTGTAGGAATTTGAGTTAACTGGTAGGAGTTGGCTGTTCCTGCAGATCGGCTGAAAGACTACGATTCCCAATGGTGGGGCATAACCTAGCTGTGGTAGCAGAGGAAAAGTATGCTTAGAATGGCCATAACAATTGTTTGAAATTTGCATTTGATAAAGATCTGTCAAACAAGTGTGTTATAACACCATCATTGATACAAATTTTCCCCCCACATATTATCGTTGGTGCACACAGGGGTGGAATGACCATTTGGAAACTCGGGCACTGCCCGAGGGCCCAGGGCCAGTAGGGGGCCCCATGAGATGCCCCTGGTACCTTTTTTCATATGCTTTTTTGAGTTTGGGCAAGGACACAGGGGCCCCATGATCCCCTATTGCCCGGGGGCCCCATGAGCTGTCAGTCCGCCCCTGGGTGCACAGCACAAAAGGTACATTTTTTTGGTTGATTGATTACAGGATAAACACTCGTGATCATGCGTACTATGATTTATTGTGTTATTCACGATCAATTCTACTTCTCGCGCTTCACAAATCGTTCGCTCAATCCAAAAAATTCCAACATGAGTGCTTTGTTTTTTTTTCATCATAAGTCTTTGCATTTCGAGAATCAGTATGCTCCCATTAACACTTAGAAAGTTGAACAATTGGGCGTTTCGAATTAAATTTAATATAATTTTCTACTCGTCTATGGCCAGCTTTAGGACTCAGACCGCAGTCTAGACTATTGTGAGCCAGTTTTGCAGAGAGGAGATCCATGCTGAGGATATCGACAAAGAAATTGCCATGTAAGGTTGCTGTGCACAAAGGACTACTGAACAGCCATTGGCTAACTTTACCCTATGACTGCCGCAGGGTGAGACTAAATGCCATTTAGGAACACTATACCAGGTTGCAGAAGATCATAACCATGCCCACCCCCAACCCTACCCCCCTTCCAGGGAACAGACCACAACATCAAACGATGGGTGTGGCCACATTACATGGTCTTAAAGGGGCATTCAATGCTAGTGCATTACATAGAGAGTGCAGAGATCAGTAGTGCACTTCATACATAGTGCAGCATTTAGGAGTATGCTATGTACAGAGTCCTGGGTTCAGGTGTGCACTTTGTACGTAGCGCACTCCTGAGCTCTGTATTCTGTACCAAGTGCACAACTGAACCCAGGACTCTGTACATAGCATACTCCTAAATGCTGTACTCTGTACGCAGCGCACTCCTGAACTCTGCACACAGCGCACTCCTGAACTCTGCACGCAGCGCACTCCTGAACTCTGCACAGAGTGCACTCTTCAGCTCTGCACTCTGTACGTAGCACACCCCTGAGCTCTGCACTCTGTACGTAGCACACTCCTGAGCTCTGCACCCTGTACGTAGCGCACTCCTGAGCTCTGCACTCTGTACGTAGCGCACTCCTGAGCTCTGCACTCTGTACGTAGCGCACTCCTGAGCTCTGCACTCTGTACGTAGCGCACTCCTGAGCTCTGCACTCTGTACGTAGCGCACTCCTGAGCTCTGCACTCTGTACGTAGCGCACTCCTAAGCTCTGCATTCTGTACCGAGTGCAGAGCTCAGGAGTGCGCTACGTACAGAGTGCAGAGCTCAGGAGTGCGCTGCGTACAGAGTGCAGAGCTCAGGAGTGCGCTGCGTACAGAGTGCAGAGCTCAGGAGTGCGCTGCGTACAGAGTGCAGAGCTCAGGAGTGCGCTGCGTACAGAGTGCAGAGCTCAGGAGTGCGCTGCGTACAGAGTGCAGAGCTCAGGAGTGCGCTGCGTACAGAGTGCAGAGCTCAGGAGTGCGCTGCGTACAGAGTGCAGAGCTCAGGAGTGCGCTGCGTACAGAGTGCAGAGCTCAGGAGTGCGCTGCGTACAGAGTGCAGAGCTCAGGAGTGCGCTGCGTACAGAGTGCAGAGCTCAGGAGTGCGCTGCGTACAGAGTGCAGAGCTCAGGAGTGCGCAGGGTTCAAGTTTGCGCTGCATAAAGAGTGTAGAGTTCAGGAGTGCGCTTTGTACAAAGTGCAGGGTTCAGGAGTGCACTTAGTACACTCCTGAACCCTGTACTTTGTACAAAGCACACTCCTAAACCCAGCACTCTACATAGTGCACTCCTGACCTCTGGACTGTGTACATAGTGCACTCCCGAACCCTGCACTCTGTACGCAACGCACTCCTGAACTCGGCATATACTGGATATCAAGTGCAGACCAACCTTTTTCCGTCACCAGTAACCTGGAACCTGGCTCACACTTGGGTTGGAGTGTGAGCCAGGTTCCAAGTTATTGGTGACGGAATAAGTTTGGGCTGAGCCAGAGTAGACAGTTGTATGTAACGGAGAGCTGATTGTGTATGGACTGTGAGTGAGGAGAGGAACAGAGGTGAATCAGTGCTCCTGTCCTGCTATTGACACTCTCACTGATGTCCAGACTGATCCTCTGCTTGTTGACCATATCTGCTGCACAGGCAGCCTCTGGCGGACATTGGGCATATACTGGACGTCAAGTGCAGATATATCTGGGGAGGATATACCCCGTCTTTAAAGCTTGTTTGACTCTTTAGCCATAACAGCAAAGAGTCCACTCCACCTGGTGAGTAGGGATTGGAACATTAATCACGGATTGTGTGAGCACTTTTTTTTTGAAGATTTTGTTGAGCACTATTTCTGGGATTGGAGCACATTCTTATATACTTTTGGGACTTTTTTGGGACTTTTTACACATTTATAAAAGTTTTTTTTTTTGCGCGCTGTGGACTGTTTATTTTTATACAGTGTATTTTTGCAGCCAAACACACACACACACACACACTTCCGCGTGTTGTCTTCAATGACCAGTCTAGTGGATGTTTTGTTTTTGGAGTTTTATTGTAGAACTAGGGATAGGGAATTGTAGCAGGATACTCCAAAATCAGAACTATTCACACTGAGGACATCTAGCTGATCTCTTAGTTGAGCACTTATGAAGTCTTGGCTGACAGTAGATAGCAGACCTCCTTGTAATATATAGCAGCAGGTAGTTTAGGAGTGAGCAAAGTCCCTTTTCGCACTAGTAGTAGTTACAGGGCTGAGCTCCTCTGATATAAGCCAGTTACGACAGACTGTGACAGCCCACAGGTAACGTAGCTGAGCAAAGTCCTTTGCAGTGGCAACAGTTGGACAAGCTCTCCAGAACATTAGCCAGTGTTCCCTTGTTCCAGATCCACGTTGACTATCAAACACCAGAGAGGCAGTAAGCACACAGTGTCCCCAAGATCTCTAAGTATGTTCTCACAAATCCAAGGACAGAATGGTTGCCTCCTTCCAATCTTCCAAGTGACTCTCTCCAGTGATACCAGACAGAGCTTTGGCAGATGGCTCCTATCAGTCAGCTTACCGTATAACCAGGGTCAATCTTTAACTACAGGCCCTAAGGTTGACCCACCTGAGGCCACGTGGCAGCAAGTGCCAGGCGAGGCAGCCCGCCTCCAGCCTGGCTGGTGCATGCCACTCCCGGGAAGGACACTGAGCCCATGTGCTCTGACTATAAATACTACTCCCAGCATACAACAGGGCAACCCTTCCCTCCACATGGCCTGAGCTGTGTCCATATTCATGCTGTGCATTTGCTTAACCCCTACCCATGTTCTGTAAGGCTCTCCTAGCTTCCTGAACACGGGCAGAACTCAGACATACTCCATCAGCACCAGAGCAACATGAGCAGAGCTTACTAATCAATCACAGCACTCTGTTAAGCAGACCACCACACTGAATTTACCTGATAGCCTCTCTGGTAAGCAGCAAAAAAACACAGCTATGCTGGGGGACAGTGTAACCTGGTGGGATTATACTGGGGGAATTGTACTGTGGGAAAAACTGACCTGGGGATTTGTACTGGGGGACAAACTGATAAGGGGGGATTATCCTGGGGGATAGATTGACCTGGGGGAAGAAGGAAGGATTATACTGGGGGACATACTGACCTGGGCGGGGCTATACTGGGGGACAGACTGACCCTGGAGGGGTTATGCTGGAAAACAGGCTGACCTGAAGAGGGGGATTATACTGGGGGACAGATTGTCCTGGGGAAATTGTACTGTGGGACAGACTGATCTGTGGGACATTTTCCTGGGACTGGCACTGTTAGGTGGCACTGATGCGCACGGATAGGCGGCACTGACTGGCGCTGATAGGTGGCACTGATTGGCAGCACTGATGGGCATTGACAGGCATCACTGATGGGCACTGAAAGGCAGCACTGATACATGGCACTGATATATGGCACGGATAGGCGGCACTAACTGGCACTAATAGGTGGCACTGATTGGCAGCACTGATAGGTGGCACTTTTTGGCATTGATAGGTGGCACTGACTGGCACTGATGGGTAACACTGACAGGCAGCTCAGATGGGCACTGATATGTGGCATTGATGTGCACTCTTATGCACTGATATGTGGCATTGATGTCGCACTGATGGACACGGACAAATGGCACTGCTGGGGCTACACTAGTCATCAGGGCACACTGATCATCAGTGTACATGTCCCCTCTGCGGAAAGCCGGTTACCGGCTCTCCTCTCCTCTGTCAGCGTGACAGCTTGAGAGGAGAGAAATGACAATAACCAGCATTTCCCTGTTTACATGTGACCAGCTGTGATTAGACACAGCTGATCACATGACCGAGCCGACATCTTCCACTCTTTCCATGATCGGTGATCCGTTGTGTCCGAGGGACACAGCGCACCGCTGATCGCCGCGCGCTCCCTGAGCGCGCATGCGAGGAGAATGATAGGACGTCATATGAGCCAATCATGGCAAGTGATGTATTCTATTAATGAATACAGAGCCTGCTCAGATTGGCTGTGTCAGAGAGGCGGGCTGATGATGTCACAACTTCAGCCAATCCGAGCAGGCTCTGTATTCATTAATAGAATACCTCGCTCGCTGTGATTAGCTCAGCGCGGTATACTGTATGTAGCCGAAGCTACCATACAGTATTACCGCACATCCAGCGGGCTGACATTCTATACCCCGCGTATAAGATGACCCCCAATTGTTGGAGTATGTTTTTAAGTATAAAAAGTCATCTTATACACTGGAAAATGTGGTAAGTCTGGAAGAGATGAAAAGAGGTTTTGGGGGAGATAAGAAGAAGACAACAAATATGGTGGTTAAACATAACTGTTATCCTCGCGGAACCCTTCTGCTAGCCCCTCCTGTGGTGGGTGGCGCCACCCACTATTGGACTGCTTCCAGAAAAAGGATTTATAAGGTGGAGGTCCGGGTAAGACCAGTAGAAGCCCCCCCCCCCCCCCCCTTAGTGGCCAGAAGACGCTCTGAAACTGGGATTTTTACCAAGGCTATGTCAGGAATGGACTGGCCAGCAATGGTGGGACTCACCTGCCTTATGGGCTGCAGTACCAGGGCTGGCCAGCGGGTGCTCCCAGCAATCAGAGACTCAACCCTGCAGCCAGCCAAACACCTGAAACTGCTTATGCAGGTGTATTTAAGGGATGGCCAGACCTGCAGACTCTGCCTTTGGTGTGTGTGTTTTTCCTGGGCCCTGTATCTTGTTCCTGCATCCTGTTCCTGTTCCTGTCTTGTTGCTGACCCTGCTTGATCTGGACCTCTGCTGACTTCTCCTGTTCTGATCCCTGGCTTGTGACCCCGACCATTCTCTGTCTGACCCCCTGTACCTACCTGCCTGTTAGTTGCTGTACCCGGCTCGTGACCTGACTACTCTCTGCCTGCTCCTACCTGCCCGTTTGTTATTGACCCGGCCTGCCTGACGACGCGTGCATTGTATGTATTGTTATCTGTGGGTGGTTTGGTTCGTTTGCACTGTGTTATGTTTTAGTATTGCAATGCGTTTATGTTTGTATTGTTAGTCTTGAATAAATTATATTGTTTATAACTTATCTGAAGCCTGCATTTCCCTGCGTCAGTCACATACCTCTGGTCATACCCCGGAGCCCTGACAGGCTATATGAGCTCATCGAACTGGTCGCGCCTACGGCTTCTCCGTGACCCCCTGGGCAGTTTGGTTCCAATGGGATTTGTTCCTCCCAGTTTCCACATAGCTTCGGTAATGTATTAATTCTATTCTGTGACGCTGTCAAATGATGTATCTATTTCATGCTGTAATGCTCACATTATTATTGGTGTGTGTTATTATGCAGATTGTGATGACTATAAGATATATCCTCCTGTGTGTCGTGTGATAATAAAAGTGGAGGTTTTGACAGTGCAAGAATATTGCAGTTGGATTCTGTTATTTCTTGGAGTGCCAGGTGAATGCTATGATGTGCCAAGGCAGGTGCTCATTTGGTAGAAGGTCTTTCACAATGCGTAGAACATGTGGTTAAAATGCTGATTAAATGTACCTGCACGACTGCATGTTGATTGTGTGCATGTACAGTTGTGTTCAAAATAATAGCAGTGTGTTGAAAAAAGTGAATAAAGCTCAAAATCCTTCTAATAGCTTTTATTTCCATACACAAAGTGCATTGGGAACACTACACATTCTATTCCAAATCAAAACATGAAGAAAAATATATCAAATTTGTGTTGTTCCTCTAAAAAAAAATTAAAGAAAAGTGAATATTGGACTGTTCAAAAAAAATAGCAGTGTTTGTATTCTTCTTTACAAACTCAAACATTCACTATATAAACTGAAAAAACGTTTGAAGATTTTGCTTTCCTTTGAATCACTTAATGAATATTTAGTTGTATAAGCACTGTTTCTGAGAACTGCTGTACATCTGTGTTGCATGCAGTCAACCAACTTCTGGCCCCTGTGAACAGGTATTCCAGCCCAGGATGATTGGACTACATTCCACAGTTCTTCTCTATTTCTTGGTTTTGCCTCAGAAACTGCATTTTTGATGTCACCCCACATGTTTTCTATTGGATTAAGATCCGGGGATATGGCTGGCCACTTCATAACGTAAATCTTGTTGGTCTGGAACCAAGATGTTGCATGTTTACTGGTGTGTTTGGGGGTCTTTGTCTTGTTGGAACACCCATTTCAAGGGCATTTCCTCTTCAGCATAAGGCAGCATGACCTCTTCAAGTATTCTGATGTATTCAAACTGATCCATGATCCCTGGTATGCGATAAATAGGCCCAACACCGTAGTATGAGAATCATTCCCATATCATGATGCTTGCGCAACCATACTTCACTGTCTTCACAGTGTACTGTGGCTTGAATTCAGTGTTTGGGGGTCGTCTGACAAACTGTCTCCGGCCACTAGACCCAAAAAGAACAATCTTACTTTCATCAGTCCACAAAATGTTGCACTATTTCTCTTTAGGCCAGTCAATGTGCTCTTTGGCAAATTGTAACCTCTTCAGCACATCTTTTTTTCAACAGTGGGACTTTGCGGGGGGGCTTCTTGCAGATAGCTTGGCTTCACATAGGCATCTTCTATTTGTAACAGTACTCACAGGGAACTTTAGACCTTCTTTGATCTTCCTGGAGCTGATTGTTGGCTGAGTCTCTTGCCATTTTGGCTATTCTTCTATTCATTCGAATGGTAGTTTTTCGCTTTCTTCCACGTCTTTCAGGTTTTGGTTGCCATTTTAAAGCATTTGCAATCATTTTAGCTGAGCAGCCTATCATTTTCTGCACTTCTTTATGTTTTCCCCTCCAATCAACTTTTTAATCAAGGTACGCTGTTCTTCTGAACAATGTCTGGAACGGCCCATTTTCCTCAGAATTTCAGAGAGAAATGCACTGTAACCAGCATGTACAACATTTGCTGCCTTCCTTCCTTAAATAAGGACAATAATTGCCACCTATTTTTCAAAGAATGAATGACCTCACTAATAGAACTCCACACTGCTACTGCTATTATTTTGAACATGCCCCTATTCAATTAGTGATTCAATTACACAGAATCAGCAGCATGCATGTGATGACTGTTGGGTCTGTTGGATTTCTATTACTCTACTACACCTGCTAGTAAATTATTTACCATGTAGAAATATAATTTTTACCAAAAACAGGGATTGATCAGGTTAGTGATGTCTGACTGCTATTATTTTGAACACAACTGTATACGACTTGCTTTTAGTTATTGCACCCAGCATCTCTATTACAATAGTGTACTGTTATAAGCAATAGTTTTAGCTGTCATGAACGGGTTTCCATTTAGGACAGCTTAGGTACTGTTGACATGCTGTGATTGGCTACAGTTAATGAGATGGTACAGGTAGCCAGGTACAGCCCTGGCCAAAAGTTTTGAGAAGGACACACACATTAATTTACTTGCAAGGAAACATGTGCAGACATTATTGCTTTGCACAAAAAAGGATTCACAGGCAACGATATTTCTGCTACTAAGATTGCACCTAAATCAACCATTTATCGGATCATCAAGAACTTCAAGGAAAGAGGTTCAGTTGTTGTGAAGAATGCTTCAGGGTGCCCAAGAAAGTTCTGCAAGTGACAGGGTCATCTCCTAAAGTTGATTTAGCAGCAGGATTGGGGCACCACCAGTGCAGAGCTTGCTCTGAAAAGGCAGCAGGCAGGTGTGAATTGTGGACATCCTTATCAGAAGAGTTGAAGCTGTTGTAGCTGCAAAGGGTGGGCCAACTCAATATTGAACCCTACGGAATAAGACTGGGATGCCATTACATTTAATGTGTGTAAAGGCAGGCGCCCAAATACTTTGGCAATATAGTGTATCTCCGTCCCATTTTTGTTATCTCACATGCACAGTGCCAGATAGCTAGGTCTGTGCTTGTGTGTGTAGTTGTCACCTTCCAATATATTGGTAAGTGAACCTGTTTGTTGCAATAGAGTTTATTATGCAGATACTGTTATATTAGTTAACTTTGTTCCTTTCTGGCCTGGGAATTTGCAGCTAGTTTTAGCCCAGGGCTCAATAATCAGCATAGACTAGAGCCGAGTCAGGTACCCAATGACCCAACTACTAGGGAATAAGAAGCAGAGTTAGATAGGTTGACTCTGAGTTCCAGTGCAACACAAGTTTTTGCAGGTGAGAGAATCTGCATTCCAGGCTGATTGGACACTGGTTGGAGAATCTCCCCATCACCACTGAAATTGTCTTTAGGTCTCTAACACAAAGATGGATGCCACATCTCGATCATCCTCAGGGGCCCCTGAAACTGAACTTTGCTGCAACATTCATCTGGAGGTATCTTTTATTAATAACTATACCCAAGTACAGTATATGTGCACAAATTCACCATTTTTTTTATCTGACCCAACTAAAGCTTTTAAAAAAGCATTGGCTGAATTACTGGAAGAGAATGGCAGTAATCATCTGGGACACAAAAAAATGGTTTTGACTTACCCTCAGAGCTTAAAATGGCAGATTTTGTTCTCGGTTACAGTGGATGTAAAAATGTTTTATACATCTGTACCCCGCCACCTAGCTCTAATAGCTCTTAAAAACCATCTTGGTAAGTATAGATAGTATACTAGTGAACTCCAGGAGTTTCTACTTTTGGCTACTGCTTTTTTTTGTTAAAAACACAATTTCTTTTTCCTTTTTTATTCTGTATTTACAGCTATCTGGAGTTTTCATGGGAGCTACATTTTCACATTCTTTGGTAAATTTATACATGGGTTGGTGGGAGGATCATTTTTTTTCCCCAAATGTAATCTCATAAAAAAAAACCCAAAACATATCTATTGATATGGCA